TCACTTGATTTAAGAATATTTTGTTTTCATTTGATTCAGGAATGTTTTGTCTGTTGTTCAATCTCCATGAGTTTGTGTGTGTTCTTTAGTTTCTTTTGCTATTGATTTATAGTTTTGTTCTATGGTCAGATAGAATATAAGAAATTATTTCAGTTTTGAAATAATTTCATATTTCAAATTATGTTCCATTGGCTGCTGACAATGTATATTCAGCAGTGTTTGGATGGAATTTCTGTAGATGTTTGTGAGGTCTTTGATCTTTGATGCTATTTAATTCATGCTGTTTCTAACTAAGTCTCTATTGTTCTATTTTATCAAATAAAGACTTGGGAGCCAGAGGCATGGAAAGCCCAGCTGCTTCCTACTCCACCGTCATCCCTATAGCCTTATGGATATGCTTATGTTTCTCTATATCCAGAGAATTCCTTCAAGTATCTTATACAGTGCTGACTAAGTGGTATGAATTCTTTAGTTTGTTTCCGTTGTGGAAAGTCTTTCTCCTTCAATTATGGCAGACAATTTTTCTGAATATAGTAATCTGTATTGGCAGTTAGTGACTTTGAGAGATCAAAATTATTCATTCCATGCTTTCTGGCTTTTAAGTTTCTATTGAGAAGTCTGCTACTATTCTGATAGGTTTATTTTTTATGCCTTTGATTTATGGTTAGTATTTTAAATAAAATGTCACAGGGAGTCAAAGCACAGCCTCCATATGAAAATACAGTAATCATCAATGAAAAAGAATCTTCTCAACTCCAATCACTGTAGGAAATAGAGAAACACTGATAGTACTGTGTTTATTAAGATAGAAGTTACTGGGGTATGATAACTAAAAGAGAAAACAAGTAGTTAATATTAGGATTATAGAAAGAGAAATTGAGGAGGTAAAAGTAAACAGAAGCAGGTAACAAAAGGAACAAGGATGGAGCTCTGGCTAAAGGCAGACTGAAAGAAAAAAGCATAAAGAAATATACAAATTGGATCTGACCCAAAATCCTCCTCCCCCAGGACTAGCTTTCCTGGTACCAGAAGATGCCATACAAACTCCCATAGGAGGGAAGAAATGTGGAGGCTCACAGAGGCTTCCTAGTAAGACCTTACTCAGGGTCAGAGAATCTGGGCTTGCTTTACCCAGGAGAGCTGAATAATGGGATGATTTGGCCACAGGTGTGGTTATCAGGTGTTTTGAAGGGTCTACACTTGGCTGTACACTGTGCTTTGATCTTGAAAGGGGGAGGTCTTTTGCCTCGCCCCTCAGCATTATATAAAAAGCCCTTTGGAATAAACCTCAAGGAGGCTGGGTATTGACCCAGGGCCCTCCCGAAGCTATCCTCTGTCTCTGTCTTTCTTGTCATCTCTGCCTATATTTCTATCTAATACTTACTCATTCCTCTCTCCTCCCAACAAGAACCTTTTGACAGGTCAGAGCTGGATTATGACAAGGGAACCATCAGTCCTACCCAGCTATGACATCTATTAACCCCAACAACACCAGCATGGCATGATAACAGTGGTGATACACTGTGTATACTAATAAAATTTGCCTGAAGATCAGAGAACAGAACAAGACACTAGATTAAACATAGAGGGCAGGCAGGGGTGGCACACACCTTTAATCCTAGCACTTGTGAGTTCAAAGCCAGCCTGGAATGAGATTGACTCAATCTAGGAGAGAAACAGAGCCAGGCAGTAGTAGTACATACCTTTAATCCCAGCACTTGAGATCTCATGCCTTTGCTTGGGAAGTCACACACCTTTAATCCCAGCTCTAGGAAGGAAGTGAAATAGCTGGGCAGAGAAAGGTGTGTAAGGTATAAGGAGGAACGAAGGCTTTTTCAGGCTGAGGAGTCCTAGAGGTAAGAGGTGGCTATGGCTTGTTCCTTTGTCTCTCTGATCTTTCAACATTTACCCCAATATCTAGCTCCACATTTTTTATAATAAGACCATTTTAGAATTCATACAACAGATAACCCTAAGGGTGCATTAGTGGCACTCATACTTGTTGGTGGGTCTTACATCTCTAATTGGATGTTAAGATTTGCTCAACAGAAGGGATATCATATTGTTACAGGAAACCAACAAACTACCCAGGGCTAGTGAAGTCATGGATCTTGATGGAGAACCCACAACCACTACTTTACTAAATCAACATAATCTCTAACATCATTCAAAACATTTTTTGGTCCTTATACCCACAGAAAACATGTAGTCCTCATTCCTCATCAAGAAAACTTCTCAGCTGGGCGGTGGTGGCATATGCCTTTAATCCCAGCAATTGGGAGGAAGAGCCAGGCAGATCTTTGTGAGTTCGAGGCCAGCCTGGTCTACAGAACAAGATCCAGGAAAGGCGCAAAGCTACACAGAGCAATCCTGTCTCCAAAAAAAAAAAAGAAAAAAAAAAAAGAAAACTCTTTGCAACAGACTGAGACCATTACAGAAAACTAATCAAAATGCAGAGTTGTGGAGCCCAGTTTCAATGGATACATCTGCAAAACACTCCCAAACCCAGGTATCAGAAAATCCTGTGGAAGGGGGGGAAGAAAGATTGTAAGAGCCAGAAGATTAGGGTGTTTGTCATGAGATTTTGTTTCTTAGGAATGTCAGAAGCTACAACCCACAAAATCTCCCCAATATGACTGCTAAAACGTGAGCTGAATAAGGACAACAGACATGCTAAGAGGGATATGGGAGCGATCCCAGGAGGCCTCAGTCCTACACCCAAGAACTACAGGCAACTAAGGAATACTGAGAATAGGAGAAACAGTCTTCCCCAGACAAGGGCAAACCAACTGGTCATCCAATACTCACTGGCCAGCTCTGAAAACATACATACAAGTAACATAATCAGACTGAACAGGTTGTATGTAGAATATTATTGTAAGGTGTGTTACATTTGTTTATACTGTGGAACATTTGTTTTAATGATGCAAAGATGTGTTGCATTTGTTTATCTCTGTGAGGCTGTATGACTTTGCCTGTCTAAAACACCTGATGGTCTAATAAAAAGCAGGAGAAGGAATGGGTGGGGCTGAAAGCAGAGAGAATAAATAGAAGAAACCTGATAGAAAAAGGATCAAGGAGCAAGAGAAAAGAGGAAGACACCAGGGACCAGTCACCCAGCTACACAGCAAGCCATGGAGTAAGAAGGAAAGAAAAGGTATACAGAAATAGAGAAAGGTAAAAGTCCAGAGGCAAAAGATAGGTGGGATAATTTAAGAACAGCTGGCTAGAAACAAGCCAAGCTAAGGCCAGGCATCTATGATTGCCTCTGTGTGTGACTGGAAGTTGGGTGGCAGACCCCCCACAAAAGAGCAAAAACAACAACAGTTGTATTTATGTATTTAGGAAAATATATACATATACATCTATGCATATAACAACATTTAATGAAAATAATAGAGACTATGCTTTTGAAAGAGAGTAAGGAGTAAAGGGAAGGTTAAGAGTGAGGAAAGAAAGGAAAAATGATGTAATTTATTATAATCTCAAAAAATAAAATGTTGTATGAATCCTAAATGGTTCTTATAATAAAAAACCTGGAGCCAGATATTGGGGTAAATGCTGAAAGATCAGAGACAAAGGAACAAGCCACTAGAGAAACTTCTTACCACTACTGAATCCTCAGGCCGAATGGAAGGTGAGATCCTATCTCCACAAATCCTCTGATTGAAAGCCTCTGAGTCCTCAGCTGAAAAACTCTAGTTCCTGTTTCCTCATACCTTATACACCTTTCTTCACCCAGCCATTTCATTTCCTTCCTAGTGCTGGGATTAACGGTGTGTGTGCTTCCCAAATACTGGTAGCAAAGACATGAGATCTCAAGTGCTGGGAGTAAAGGTGTGTGCCACCATTGCCTGGCTCTGCTTCTCTCCTAGACAGAATCAATCTCATGTAGTCCAGTGTAGCTTTGAACTCACTGGATCTCTGCCTCTACCTCCTTGAGTGAGAGGATTAAGGGTGTGTGCCACCACTGCCTGGCCTCTATGTTTAATCTCCTGGCTAGCTCTGTCCTCTGATCCTCAGGCAAGCTTTATTTGATACAAATATATCACCACAATAAAAGATACAATCTTTAAAAAAAAATACAATCAAAAATATAATCTAAAATAACTCCAGCTCTCAGGAGGCTAAGGCAGAGAAACTCTCAAAATCAAGAAAGACCAAGAGCAAAGTAGGACAAAAGTGGTCTGCTAAAGTAAATTGTTATTGTTTTCATGTTGTTTTCTCATGTATGTTAAAAGCAGTAGGATGCTAACACATGTGAGATCATACAACATACATACTTAGTCTCCGTCCCTGGTTTGCAACATTACTTTTAATCTATTCATCCACTGATTTGTGAAAAGGGTCATTTTGGAGTATAGCCAAAAATACATCATTTAGAACCAAACATGGCAGCACATGCCTTTAATGCCAGTACTCAGGAGGTGAAGACAAGAAGATGTCTATACTTTTGAGCTCATCTGTGTCTACACAGTGATTTCCATTTCACCTACACAATGAGATCCTGTCTCAAAATAAAACAACCTGTGTGTGTGTGTGTGTGTGTGTAGGGTTAGCTAGAAGCAGGTTTCACTCTGTTTTAAAATGAACCAACATATTTTAGCTTTCAGTTATAACTTTCAGTATGGCTAAGTATTAACAGATATAACCCACCTAAAGAAAAACTGAGATAAATTTTAAGTATTAAAGTGTACCAATAAGAAAAGTTTGGGAATCTTTGCTCTAATCATGTATGTTGTTAAAATAACTGTCACATTATGAAACATTCAGTGAGTTAGTTTTAGCAGCTCATTATCCTTGCCTTTACGGTAAGTTTAAAGCTCCTGAAAGATGATAACTGAAGACTCCTGTGAGTAGAACCCCAGGCCTGGTAGTGTCTGGCACATAAACTATTTGTTGCTACTGTTTTTCTCAATAACCTCCTATTAAATTTAATTCTTTTCCGTGTACACCTAATACTCAGATTTGCTCGGCGTATTATGTAACTAATTAGTTACCCTTTTTTGAGTGCTGATGTGTACGCTCCTCTGTCTTCTGCAGCATCAGGGAATTTCAGATCCCCAGGACCACTCCTTGCAGGTGGATTCTCAGTGCCCATGTGATCTTTATACTTCTGGGAAGAGCCACAGAACAGTGTGCCAGCAATACGGGATGAGTCATTGATACTTGATCCTCCTAATTTCAGGTAATCCTGTTTACGCACATTACAGGGAAAATGGAAGTTTTGTGTTGGTGAAATACAATTTTTGTCTTCGTTAATGATCTTCAGATTTGATGTTATCATTTTTGGCATCTTTCCTTGGCCTAGGATAAGAGAAATACACTAATTATTAATTATTACATATTACATGTTCTTTGTGAAAAGAAATTTTCTAAATAATGACAGAAAATTTCAATTAAAAGTTTCTAAAGAGGGCCAGTGACGTGGTTTAGTGGGTAAAAGTATCTGCTATCAAGCCCGAAAACCTGAGTTCTGCCCCGAGGACCCACATGGTGGACGGAGAGAACTGACTCCAAGTTGTGCTCTGACTTCGCAAACACTGTGGTAGTACCCGCTAAACACAGATACTAAATAAACATAACAAAATTAAAATTTTTCTAAAGAGCTTACTAGATAAATACAAAAATTAAAAGAATCAATACAATAATAAGATAATCTGTACTACTGTAGTCATGAAATAAAGATGGTTATTTCTGGAGGCAGAGACAGACAGACCTCTGTGAGTTAGAGGCCAGCCTCATCTACATTGTGAGTTTCAGGCTAGCGAAGGCTACACAGTGAGGCCCTGCATAAAAAACATAATTATACAAATTCATATGCAAACATATATAAATTATGAGTCATAATAAAACATTAAAGTTTTGAATATTATCATATAAGAAACATACACTGAACATGCTTGTTTTGGGGGAGAAATTTTTTGTAGTATTGGGGAAGACTGAGGCCCTCCTGTATGATAAGCTCATGTTCTGCTACATCATTAGCTTAACAATGTTTAAAATAATCTCATATTATACATAACCTTCTGCATCTTGGTGTTTTTCACTGAGAACACTTCAGAGATCTGGCTCTCAGAAAACTGTACTTTTTGTAAAGAACAAGACAAAACAGAACTGCATTAGCAAAATTTTAGTATTCACAGAGCAGCAGTACAGACAAATACGTGATAATGTAGTATGCACTGTGTGAACGTGTTTGTAGAGAAGGTAAATGCCCTAGACCTTGAGATTTGGTGCACAAGCAAAAAAGGAGTTAATACTTTAATACATTAGTAGACTTTTTTAAACTGACATAAACTACATGAGTTTGGCTCCACAAGAAACACAACAACTTACTTAATAGTTTATAACTTTCAATTTCTTCCTCTAACTCTTGAGTATCTGGAATTTCTGAAATCAGTGGAGCTGGAGGGAGAAACCAATCCAGTGATTTTTCCTTAACTGGAAGGCTACACAGAAAACAAAATGTAAATATATGTTAATAAGGACAGGCTATCAAAAACCATCCATTTATTAAACATTACTCAAATACAAACTCTTAGACAAACACTCCATAAACAAACTGTCAGGTTTTGCTTTATCCCTGCATGTACGGCAAGGCTCTCAACATCTTCCCCTGTGTCACAGGACTGATGCACACTGCTGTATGAGGAACGCTGGCTGAATGACAGCTGTGAGGCCACCTCATTTTCTCCTCACTCAAACGTTAGCATTTCAAGTACTGCATACAACAAATTACTTGTGACATACCGCGCCTAAAATCATGGGCTATCAACATGTAAATGTCACTATTATTATATTCTAGATTATTCCTGTAACTATTAAGAATTAAAAGTCCCTAAAATTATAAAACTGAAAATAATACATTAGATAACCCTTCTTTCAGGCACACTTACTTTTCAGTTTCATCTGGGCTACTGAAAAACAAATTATCCATGGAAAAAAAGCAATTGTTTGATTTCAGCATTGTTGAAAACCAGACTTTGTCTGAAATCTACAAGAAAAAAAAAGGCAGTTTATATTCATTTACAGGAAAAAAACAATTTTGGACAAATAAATGAGAATCATTAATTTCCCAGAATGCTTTCTAAAATATAATCACAGAAAACTATTTAGCTTTGTCTTCCGAAAATTCCTTGAAAAAGCCTCATTATGAAACACATTATTCTCCGTTCATTCATGTGTTTTCCCACATGTATCCCTCTCTATGCTGCACTAATGCTTAGAATGTACTTCCATTTTTCTCCTAACACATCCTTCAGTGTGGGTCACCATTGTTAAAAGCATACATTGCTCCTTTTTCATTTCAATTATCACCCCCTGCACATCAAAACTATATCTCATTTTTCTAAATTCTGAAACATAATGAAGTGTTCTATAGGTCAAAGCATGAAATTAGATGCACAAATCATAAAACATAAATTACATTTCCTTTTTTTAAGGTTTATTTATTCTGTCTGCATGGATGCCTACAGGCCAGAAGAGGGGACCAGATTTCATTAGATGATTGTGGGCCATCATGTAGTTGCTGGGAATTGAACTCAGGACCTCTGGAAGAGCAGCCACTGCTCTTAACCTCTGAGCCATCTCTCCAGCCCACATTTCCATTTCTTATGTGATAGTCAATATACTGCAAATTTGTCCTCAGGACAGAAATTCAAATTTAAAAAACTACATGAACACCATCTCATAGCAAAAGTGCATTACCAAGTTAGAATCTATGTTACCAAGATGGAGAGTTCTCTAGTGAAGACATAAAACACATGTAGGGTGATGTTAGGAGGAAGGCTATTTCCAGTGCAGCTCTTGACAAAATGACACAAGAGGCTAAATCCTGCACACATTTTAGGACAGTTCTTACAGAACCAGAATACTGTGGATTTTTCATTGTTTTAGTTATTTGGGTTATATTTACTTTTAATACTCTTCTCAATTTATTAATCACTCAGTCACCAACAAAAAGAAGTAGCCCAAACTAAAACAAGTAAATATGATTCTATAAACACCTAAAACAATTTGACTGCATGATAAACAGAAGCCAAGGAAAACTGGGCAGAAGGTACAAGGGAATCATTCTGAAATACACTAACAGATCTTTACATCTACTTATGAAACAATTTCAGAACTTGAAAACAGTTATCTGAAAAACGTATGCTAATCAACTTTGTATGTATTGTCCAAGAAGCTGCAAAATGCTTCCCGTCTAGTGTCAGAACTATATTTTAATCAACAAAAGGTTAAAGAAGTAAAACCCATCAAACCAGGTTTACAGGGCTCTACTACCTCAGTGTTTAAGTAGAAAATCGCATTACTAACATGTATGATCAAGTTCTTTATTCTAAAAGAAAGTGGAAATAAGACAACAAAACAGATTAAAACTAACTTTAAATGTTACACTATACAAAAAGACCTCCCATATACACAGAAAATACTGTCACAAGAACGTTTTTTCTAGTTCTAGTACAAAAGGTGGTATAACTTATTTTAGTACAGAATAAAAACATTGTGCCGGGCGGTGGTGGCGCACGCCTTTAATCCCAGCACTCGGGAGGCAGAGCCAGGCGGATCTCTGTGAGTTTGAGGCCAGCCTGGGCTACCAAGTGAGTTCCAGGCGCAAAGCTACACAGAGAAACCCTGTCTCGAAAAACCAAAAAAAAAAGTGTGTGTGTGTGTGTGTGTGTGTGTGTGTGTGTACACTCTGGATTAAAAAAAAAACTATCTAGAATTTTCTATCCCTCAATCCTGCATTATTTTTCTTTATAACATTCATCTATAATTGGAACTTTGTATTTAGTTGTTTATCTTTCTCCCTGCAAAGCAAAGAAGGGATTTTTTTTCTTATATGTTTCAATAAACCTAGAACAGTTCCTGACAGTGTAGATAATCCATAAAAATTCAATGCAGAGGGGGGCTGGAGAGATGGTTCAGAGGTTAAGAGCACTGATTGCTCTTCCAGAGGTCCTGAGTTCAATTCCCAGCAACCACATGGTGGCTCACAACCATCTATAATGAGATCTGGTGCCCTCTTCTGGCCTGCAGGCATACATGCTGTATACATAATAAATAAATAAATCTTAAAAAAAATTCAATGTAGAATGAATGCACTAGCAATCAACTATAAATAAAACAATTTCAGTTAACTGATTACCCACAGTTAATGTTAAGTTTAAATTTTTGAATTTTTCTCCTAGCTCAAGATTCATGTAATCACACCATTAAGGCTCTAAAAGATGATGAATTTAGAACTTTCATCATGTAAATAAATCTTTTTTTTAAAAAAAAAAAAACATAGTATCTAGCCAGGCGGTGGTGGTGCATGCCTTTAATCCCAGCACTTGGGAGACAGAGCCAGGAGGATCTCTGTGAGTTTGAGGCCAGCCTGGTCTACTGAGCAAGATCCAGGACAGGCACCAAAACTACACAAAGAAACCCTGTCTCGGAAAAAAAAAGTATATATATATATAATATCTAAAATAAACCTTGTTACATTTGATGTAAGATGATAAATTTTTAATTAAAGTTTTAGGTTTAGATTGAGATATTTTAAATTTATCACAAAGTTCTTATTTCAGAGCTGGGCGTGGTAGTAGAAGTCTAAAATCCAGCCCTGGGAAAGTGGAGGCAGGGGGGTCAGTTCAAGGCTGGTCTCAGCTGAGGTCAGCCGGGGCTACAACAAAAAACAGGTTTCACCACAAAATACAGTGCAAAACTCAGTAAGTAATCAGTCACAAAGTAGTTTTACTTCGTAAGTACAGTTTGTTGCTTACAGAAGTTAGCACACACCTCTCTCTAACTCTGTCGGCAACTTTACTATCGTATTCTCCGTAATCTTCTACTTATTGTATAAAATTACTGGGTTGTGGGTCCCCATTTTCACATTAAACACGTACACTGTCAGATGTGAGTGGTCCCCGACAGTAACTCCCACTGAAGGAGGTGGAAGAGCAGAACCAGGAAGGGCTGCAAGGCGATTCCGGGATAGCCTCGGCTAGCCGTGGGGGGCCTGTTTCAAACAACGAACACACACAACACTGACTCACAAGAAATCACCGGTCAGTAAAGCAGCCCTGACGGGGCCAAGCCCCACAAACGACCGCGTCTCCAGGTCGCCCGCGGTCGGCATCCCATCCCGAGGTGAGGGCAAAACGGACCTGGTTCTCTGGGAGGCAGAGGCAGGGGGATCTCTGTGAGTTCGAGGCCAGCCTGGGCTACAGAGCGAGATCCAGGACAGGCAGAGTACACAGGGAAACCCTGTCTCGGAAAAACCAACCAAACAGGACTCCGCGGCTCCCGGTTAGCGGCTGATGTGGTGCGCGTGGGGACCCCTCACCCCTCACCCCTCACCCCGGCCCTCCCCCAGGGCAGCTCCGCTCCTCAGGCCTCCCTCAGGCCCCTCTGACAGGAATGCGCAGGAGTCGCGCGCCCTTGCCCGCCTGCCCAGCAGATGGCGCCCGGGCGAAGCTGCCCCACGGGTGGCCCGCGCCCTCCCGCGCCCCCTCCCCACCCTCCCACCCGCGCCCCTCCCCACCCTCCCGCGCCCCCTCCCCACCCACCCGCGTCGCTCCCCTGGTCCCCACGCCGACGCCGACGCGCGTCCAGGCCGCAGCCACTCACTGACCCTCACGCCGAGCGCCGATCCATCGATTGCGGATCTATCGAGCGCCGATCCCCCGGCTCCTCCAACGACCCCAAACCTCCAAGCCCCGCTCAGTCAAACGCCAAGATGCTCCACCACCCTAACCGCGGCATCTGCACAGCCCAGCCTGCCATAGCATTCGCTCTGGGACCCCAGTTTCTCAGACCTAAGTGTCTGATTAAAATGACAACCATTAGGTCACTATTACCGTGACAACTTTATTTCAGAAACAAATATTTTTAAAAGTCACAGTGCAGCCGGGCGGTGGCAATCCCAGCACTCGGGAGGCAGAGGCGGGTGGGTCTCTGTGAGTTCAAAGCCAGCCTGGTCTGCACAGGGAGTTCCAGGACAACCATAGTGAGATCCTGTCTCAAAAAAACAAAATCAATCAATCAAATAAAAAGTTAAAAAGTCGCAGTGCATTTGAGTTGATTAAAGATGAATGACAAAGTCAAGAATGGTGTGTTCTTAAGCTGCAAACTCAATTACAAATGTAATTTACCTTTTTAAATGTCTTTAGCAAAGTTGTCCTCTGACCACTGGTAGGGGATATTTTCATAGGAAATCTTGTAGCTGGTAAAATATCACTGATACTTTTCTCCCAGAGATATTTAGACTTTTAAAAAACTCCTCTTCCTCTGTCCACTAGGATCCACACAATTCTTCTGACTTACTCCTTTTTTTTTTCCTTTTCTTTACGACTCCACTGCTTAACAGTTATATAACCTATAACCTGAACCTTTTTTGGGAAAAAAAAAAAAAAAACTTGAACTTTGTCATCCTCAATGACATTACTTCCTAACTCATATTCTTGCAAAGATTCAATACATAACAAATGCTCAATAATATCAATTTCTTTCAACTCTCTTGGACTATAAAAATCAATCCTTGTAAGTTGAGAAACCTACTCATAACCTTCCCCCCGTCCCCAGACAGGATTTCTCTGTGTAGCCCAGGTTGTCCTGGAACTCACTCTGTAGACTAGGCCAGCCTTGAATTCAGAGATCCACCTGCCTCTGCCTCCGGAGTGCTGTGAATAAAGGCATGTGCCATCATGCCTGGCCTGACTATTTCTTTTGAGTAAAAAACTTGACTCCATGGACAGTTCATAGTAGTTGGCACATACGAGCTCCCTATAGATCAAACCTAAACATAGAAGAAAACATTGAAGAAAATCTTCCACTTGATTTTGTTTGAGACGGGCCTGTCCTTAGCACTGATCAAGAGGGGAAGATATGATTTCCAGAAAAAACAGGGAATTTAAAAGATGAATAATAGGCATCAGAACAAGACAATATTTTAACTTCATGTAACAGGAGGGGTAAATTTCTACCAGGGGAAAAAATTAAATATGAGTACGATAGTCTTATGCAATATCATTCAGCAGTGAAACTTTTCTGAATCATTTCTAATCTTTGTCTATTTTCTTGGTTACATAATTACTACATCTTAACAACTATCCCTTGACTTGTACTTCATTCCATCATCCCTTTGGTATTTAAGGACCTACTAAATGTATAGGTAGCTTTGGGCTTCTCCATATAGAAATATAACTCTGAACTTTTCTCTATTCCCAAGAACCCCTTCTGTGGTAGTTTGAAGTAAATGGCCCCCATTAATTTCATAGAGAGTGACTATTAGTAGGGGTGGCTTTGTTGAAGTGGGTATGACCTTGTTGGAGGAAGTATGTTACTGTGGGGTTGGGCTTTGAGGTTTCCTATGCTCAGAATACTGCCCAGTGTCTTCCTGTTGCCTGCAAGATGTAGGACTGTCCGCTCTTCCTCCAGCACCACGTCTGTTGTGGAATATTTGTTTACACTATGAAGATGTGTCTTTGCCAAGGTGCCTTCTGATTGGTTTAATAAAGAGCTGAATGGCCAATAGCTAGGTAGGAAGAGGTTAGGTGGGACTTGCTTAGAAATATCATGCATTGAGATATAGACAGAATAACATAAGTAAGAAATTCCATGAAGATGCAAGTAGAACACATTTGCCTGGAAGTCTTTCAAGAAGAGAGGAGGGCAGTGGGAGATGCTATTACAACTGACATAATTTTCACTTATGATATATGTTGAGTTACAATGTATTTAAGCATGAGTTATCTCATGTTTAATTTTGTCACAGCATGGAGAAAGTGCAGTGCCTAAAACAGCAGACATTTTAACATTTTGGGTGAGCCTTGGAGCACAGCTGAAGTTCTGTGTCCTTATCTTGGAGGAGTGTAAGTCTAGCACAAGGGAAGTAGACTATTTCTCTCTCAGACAGCTGCCAGCATTGGTCACCACCAGAGAAAGGAAAGAACTACATTTGGAAAGGGTCTCTGGAAATTCTGGCTGTCCATGGCTCACACCAGACTCAAGAACACAAGCTAGCTTCTTTGAGGAAAGGCGTCTGGTACAGGCACACAAAACAAAAGCAGCTCAGGAATCCTAAGGAAGAAGCACCAGGAAGCTGCCAGCTTAGGAGGTGGTGTCAACGGTGGGCTTTCTTTCAGCTTCCGCTACCAAAACTTCCAAAGTCAAGTTCTGCGAAGGAGAAACCCACTGCCTCAGAAAACACTGCTGAAGCAAAGGCTGTGGTACAGGCAGATGAACAGTCACCATGATAACAGTAGGCAGGTGATGAACAGTCACCGTGATAACAGTGGGCAGGTGATGAACGGTCACCGTGAACAGGCAGGTGATGAACGGTCACGGTGATAACAGTAGGCAGGTGATGAACAGTCACCGTGATAACAGTAGGCAGGTGATGAACAGTCACGGTGATAACAGCAGGCAGGTGATGAACAGTCACCGTGATAACAGTAGGCAGGTGATGAACGGTCACCATGATAACAGTAGGCAGGTGATGAACAGTCACCGTGATAACAGTAGGCAGATGATGAACAGTCACCGTGAACAGGCAGGTGATGAATGGTCACCATGATAACAGTAGGCAGGTGATGAACGGTCACCATGCATATTCGTTCATTTTGCCCTCCTGTGACCTTCGCAGACAACTCACAAGGAAGAAGGGGTTACTGTGGCTGAAGGTTTCAGAAGGCCTTATGTAACAGTGGACAGGGGACAGACTGAGCTGCGATGGGGTAGAGGTGGGGTAGAGATGGTCCATCCCCAAAGACCCACACCCAGCGGCTTACTTCTTCCAACTAGGAAACTTATCTCTCAAAGTTTCTAGAACTTCTCTAGAAGCCCCTCCATCTACTCACCATGCAGACAAATCATGAGCCTCAGAGACATTATGCGTTCAACCCTTAACATGGTGAGTGTAGCACAGCTTAAAAGTGGGATCTGTGAAATCAACCAGGGAGATGCCACTGACTTATGGAAGCAGATGCTATTTATGATGGACAGAAGGACAGGCTGCAGGAGTCAAGAGCACATCAAGCCCTTCCCCTGGGGGTGGGTATCTGGAAAGCTAGGGGGCCTGTCTTTGGGGATCAGCGCCAGAGAATTTAGGATTTCAACAAGTAAGGGGCATGGTCCCATAGTAATAGCTGGTTTCTTTGATTCTGGTGAGCAAAAGACTTAACCCCACTGTTACTGGCTTTATCTACTTCAGATCGGTACCCTAGGAGACACCAGTGTCACAAAAAGGACTTGAGAGAGCCCTCAACAAGTTACAACGTTTTCTCATTTAATAAATGGTGAGAAATACCTTAGAATTCTTATAAATGGTGTGTGTGCTTGCCTGAGTGATGGGTAAGAAAGCAGATGCCTTAAATCGGGTGGCAGGGGAGGGAGAGGGGTTGAACCGAATGGACAGAGAATGGGTTTGTACCCAAGCAGCAGAAGGCCTAACACAAGCCGAGATAAGAATGGCCCAACACACCCCAAAGGACAAAGGAAGACTTCGAGGAAACTAAACATTCCATGTGAAATAAGCCCATAGAAGTCCACGGTAAAGTAAAAGAGACTAGTAAATGTGAAAGCTCAATAATTCAATGTACATTAAGGGAAAAAGTTGGACAACCATGGTGAAAGCCCTCAAATTATAAAGTATGATCAGTAATTTATACATCAATATCCTGGTTTTTTAATTAATTGTACTCTTAAAATATGCCATCTTAGAAAAAATTACAACATTAACTGAAGAGAAGCTTTGCCATGTGGGGAAACCTTTGTTCACACTTGCTATTATACTCACACAGGCTTGCTACTGAGAGCCTTCCAGTAAAACACTGTGGATCATAAGTCCCTGAGCAGGTTCGGACTAAAGTTAATTTGTTCTGCTGGCCATGGTGGCACTTGCTTTTAATCCCTGAACTCAGGTGGCAAAGGCAGGCTTGTCTCCAGAGTGGGCTCCAGGCCAGCCAGGACTATACAGCAAGACCCTGTCTCAAATGAAGAGAGATGGGGCTGGAGAGATGGCTCAGTGGATAAGAGCACTGACTATTCTTCCAGAGGACCTGAGTTTAATTCCCAGCACTCACATGGTGACTCACAACTGTCTGTAACTCCAGTTCCATGGGATCTGGCATCTTCACATAGACATACATACAGGCAAAAAACCAATAAACACAAAATAAATCTTTAAAACAAACAAACAAACAAAGCAAAATAAAGAAGTGACTTTGCTTCTTGTAAGCTACTCGACTGAGTTTAAACATTTTATCCAGAGGTAAGTTAGGAAATAAATATTTGGTAATCGAAGCTGGGCAGTGGTGGCGCACGCCTTTAATCCTAGCACTTGGGATGCAGAAGCAGGCGGATCTCTGTAGGTTTGAGGCCAGCCTGGTCTACAGGGCAAGTTCCAGGTCAGCCAAGGCTACACAGAGAAACCATCTCAAAAATCAAAACAAAACAAAAAAGTTTAAAAATTTTGAACAGATTTCCACTATACTTGCAACATCTGCTGTTATTTGGGGTAGATTTAAATATACAAAGTGCTTTTTCTCTTGACTTTATTCCGAAGTGGCAGCTTTGCTCACCAAACAAGTCATATGCAGATCACATAAAACATGTGTCACAGCAGCCTCTGAAATTTGTTAATATTTTATTCTCCACAGCCAACCATCCAAGCCACCATATGCTTTGAGTCTTCCCTTCCACGGAGACTGCTTTGCACACCTCAGTATAAAGCACCAGGTCATGGCTTCTTGGCCTCTGCAGCAAGGCAAGAGCAGC